TTTTAAAAAAAAAGGGAATTTAAAAAACAAAATGTGCAATATTTGCATACAGCAGTTTGTAATTCTGCAGAATTTTCCTGTTTGAAAATTCTGCAGAGCAACGTTTCTGCTGCCATTACAGCTCCAGCGCCTTTGCTACATCTCTCAATCAGTTTCACACATCTACAGGCCAAAAGTGTTGTCCACTGGTTGCGAAATAACTCAGTCAGACTGGGTGGAAAGCATTTATGAGGAGCAGTTTTTGAAATCTTTCCGTCTGAACTTTGACAGGGTTGTTTTTGATCCAAGCCATTTCCCACCTCTGACTGTATCTTTGCTGTCTTTCTGCCAAAAGGGAAACCACAGGTTTCTCTTTAGCCTCTGGCAGGTTTTATTCTAGGATTGCCTTGTCAGCTCTGACAATCTTCTCCATACAGAGCAGATTGTGCTACCCTTAGGTGAACCATATTTACTTACTAGATGTATCAGAATAATAGGGGCTATACTATAATTGTAATTTATAAGTTTTAAAGATATTGCACAAATTACTCTCAACTAAGCGGTTAAGCCCAGTTGAGCTATTTATGTAACATAGTGTGATTACCACTTAGATAATCTTTTTCTGAAATGGTTACTTTATGTAGCTTCATAAGCTCAACCGCATTCATAGGTTAGAAATAATGGGCATCATTGTGCAAATTGACAATATCAAAGTAGAAAGACAACGTATCGCTGTATGAAAATGTGTAAAAACATAAGTGCATCAGCTTCTTTAATGTAATTAGATGCCGAGCAGAAATCCACACCAACTCTGCGGCTTCTTGTTTAACACAGACAGAATAATCACTCTGTTTCAGAGAGGCGAAGCAAGCTATTATAGGGACAGCTGCAAAATGCACATAACTGCAAACATTTTTACTGGTTGACAAGTAAAATCTAAACAGGGCCTTTCGGGCGCCTCCCGCCATAAACACATGGCCTATTCCTTCAAAAGCGCCAGATTTGTGCAGAACAAAATGCACAAAATGTTACACATTCTCCTTTAAAAATGCACAGAACGTGTTAGACTTTGTGGTCACTCGCTCTCTTAAGTCTCCAAAAAGAAACTTTTTTTTTGTTTTTTTTGTGGACCGTCATGCAACACTGAAACCGCTCTCTGCGTCTAAGTGCAGCGTAAGCAACAAACCACATGATTCCAACGTTTGATTAGTACAGCAGAGACGCAGAGGAGGGGAAGCAGTTTGTAATAAAGAGTGTGTGAGAGTATGGCGAACACGTGGCCCCGTGGGAAGACACGAAGCAGCCGACGATCGGAGTAAAGGTGCTCCTTGCACCGTTTCCCTCTATCATCAGATCTATTCGTTTTCACCCTAGACTGAGGCAACTTGTTTTTTATCACATCAGGCTCCGCCAGCTACTTTAATCTAAAAAACTGAGGCTGGAAGGATGTTTATATATATATATATATATATATATATATATATATATATTATTTTTTTCTAATTTTCGTGGAAGAGATAAAGAGAGCATACAGAGACAGGGAGGGACGGAATATGTAGCCAAGACACGAGAACACAGAACTGCCAAAAGCTTTTTTTCACCTCCTCCTTTCCTTGTTTTATGAATGGAGAATGAACTAACAGTGGAATAATACATTCTCCAGATCCATTTGGAGTCATTACAAGCCTATGGTATGAGGTCGAATACAACCCGGAAAGTTGTATCTGTTGAACGAATTAGACATTGCAAAGATAATGAAATCCATTTGTGGAAATTATTACTTACGATCATATCTATTACACTTAGAAGAAATGCAGGTTGATGTCTGGACTCAAAGTGTGTGCTTGTAAGGTGAACCTCATAGACTCCAAGACCCCTGAGGCACAGAACCGCCACACAAGGAAGCACGTCACCTCCGCCAGGCAACCAACAATGTTTGTCCTTTTTTCATCAAATAATTCCCCAAGAGAGCTGTGATTGGTCCGTAGTCCAGCTCCGTTTCCCCTCCCCAAAAGACTTCAGCACTACAACACAACTTGGAAACTTCAAATCACACAAGCGTAACTCCGAGGGTGTTCCAGGCTGCGGGATGTGTCATGCATCCCAACCTCACTGCTAACCTCAGCAATGAGTTGAGCAATGGGCAAAGCCAAGCTTTCAACACGCCTGTTACGCAATCCATCTTAAGTTGCTATTGAGACTGGCAGTACCCCAGAAAATCTTGTGGTTCAGTTGTGTTGTGGCAAATCACCGACCGGGCTCTCTCTGGAGAGAGAGTCATGCCTGAAATCCCTAACTCACCAGCAGGAAACGGCTACTGCTCTTGGAGCCCACTCAGCTCGTGTGGGTTTGTGTCTGCCTCATTTCCCCACCCCTCTTGGGCCACCGACTCGTTTTCAGTCCACCTGGAAAAAGTGAATCATTATGGCAGAAGTGTTTCATGCCGGGGAGTTCGGAGGTGAAGTTCAGCATTACAGTGGTGGAAAGCCTTCCTGCTGCCGCCCCACAGGTCTCGTTGAAAGAGCAGTTAAGTGTTTTCCCCTCCCAACAAGGGTTTCTTCTCGGTCATGAAGAGTCTGTAAATCAAAGGCAATTGTCTTAAAATCTGCAAAGTCTCAGGTGGTCTCAGGAGGCCGTGCGAGCGAATGTGTACTTCAATCCCAAATTCCTGGAATGAAATATTTCCTTATGTAGCACCAGATGGCTGAACAGCTTTCAGTGAATGGAATTGGGGAAAAAAAACTAAAGTGTTTCCAGAGAAATTGAAGTAAAATTCAGATTTTATTATTGGATCTCCCATCTGCCAAGTCAGTTTCATCTGTCTATTGGCTTTATTTATTAATGAAATGAAATAAAAGTAAATATACTGTACTCACTAGAGCAAAACTGTCTCTCATCTGTCAAGCGCACAGCTGTAAAAGCATAAGTGATTCAGACAGCTTTTTTTTTTTGTACGATTAAAGTTTGTGATCACCTAATGTTTATTAATGTATGAGGAAATGGTTTCAGTTCCCAGAGCTTTTCAGATTCTTCTTACACATAATAAGCCAGAGGCAAAAAATAGCACATAAAACAAGAGTTTCTTCAGGTGCAGCTATCGTGTCTGTGTCAGTCAATAAAGTCAGAAGAGGTCCGGAATGGAGCGTTATCAATCAGCGGAGGAATTTGGTTGACTCACAGCGTGAAAGTCAAAACACCACCTGGACAAAATCTCCCACACCGGTTTATGTGCATTTCTCTGTTAATTCCAGTGGAGCTGTTTTCTGATGTAATGTAGATGGTAGTCTCCAGCTGACAGCCTTGTTATATTGGTGCCGCCCACTGGTCCAAAAATAAGCAAAGCTCGAAAATGTTCAGGTAGGCAAGTCTAAACTAGTGGTTGAACGAAGCTTGACTTGTCACAAAGCTACTCCGAGTAAAGCCTGAGCAACAAAGGAAGGGTGTTAGCAGTCATATATTACCTTTAACGCGGCGATGACCAATAAAACTAACATAAAGTGACAATAAAACAAGTCTTGTGACAAGCTACAAGACGTGACTGCAGTAGCTGAGCTGTGTCTACTTTTAAGACGGCTTCAGGAAAAGTTACAGTTACTGTTAAGTGACATTGTGGACTGGTGGTGAATTGCCTACTATTATTATATACAGTATATTTAGAGGTTGAGTCATACAGCCAGGAATAGTACACTGTTTCAGTACCACCACAGTGATATTGGCACACATCATCCAGACTTAAAATTGTCTGAGGTACCTCTCCAAAGATGTAATTTGAAGATGGAAAACACATTTTTGTGACCACTGTAGTTTGAGTGCTTCAGTGATGTGGACACAAACAGTAAAAAAAAAAAAAAAAAAAACATATATTGAAAGTGTATTTTTATTGTGTACTTATGCAGGATGTCAACATGATGATATTCTGTTGCATGTTTGAAGCAGAGCAATGTTTAGCAGCAGTCTATAGTGATGTTGGGAATATTGTTTTTAGCCGGTGTCGAGGACCAACAGCAGCACTCAAAGCAAAAATAACATATTTATCAATGGTGGAAAGTTTCATATTAAGTTAAAATGTGTTTCTTATTTTCAGGTGGACTGAATATGTACAGGATGTACAGCAATCTGGCTTATCATGTGGTAATTTATATTAATTAGAAGACCATCTTATGGATTTTAAGGAATCTGGCCTGCATTTGTTCACCTCCAAGTTCATAATCTGAAATACCAAAACTAGTCAAATTTAGACTATGGATTTCCACAAAAAAACAAAAAAAACCAAAACAAAAAAAAATCTCATGGGATTGATGAAATCTGTTTGTGAAAAACCCAAAATAGCATTTTCCCATGTTTTTTTATAACACCTGATATATATATATCTCAATCTTAAGATTGTGTTAAACAGTACAAGTAAGATATATAGCTGGATCAAACCTGGATTACGTTAAATTACATTGAATAAGAGAGCCTAACAGCATGGCTGGGCACCAGTATAACCGACCACTAATCAAAATTAAAGTCATTCTATCAGCATAAAAAATATTGGCTTTCCAACATATATGAAAAAAAAAAGATATTTTTAAAAATAGCAAAAAGCTCATCTTTAGGGTTTGGTGACAAGGTCATTTTTGTTGTTTGAGAGCAGTCCAATCAAAAATTTTCCAAGGGATAAAAAACGTGGCTAAACATCGATTTAATTATATTTCCTAAATCTGAACAATTAATGTGCTGTCTTACTTTTTTTCCCCCCCAAGTATATGCCATATGAGGAGGAGGGGTTCCCCCACCCAGGGGCAACATTAATGCAAGAACCGCCACTGCTAAGGCTATTTTCTATCCAGTAAATAGATGAAGAGATAGAAATAGAGTTGCGAGGTATTTTGCCCATGTTTAATCAAAAATAAAAAAGTAAAAAAAAAGCAAAAAAAACTATTTGTTGACATGTAAAAGACAGCTCACGCAGGCGTGGGTTTGTGTCACAGTCTGCGTGATTGGCGTGCATGTTTGTGTCTAGCAAATCTGCTACTGGTTTCCCATTCACAGACAGAGACCAGAGTCAGACACAGGCTGGCTTCGCAGCAGAGGAGGGGAGAAAAAAAAAAAAAAAAAAAAGAACTCTCCTCTCGCCGCTAAGAAACCAACAGCTATCAGAGACGTGAAGTCGACGCGATGTCGAGCACGAAATGCTACCGTTTAGTTTGAGGAGACAGCTACCAATAAGGAGAAGGCTGCAGAAAGTAAGGAGTGGGTGAGCAGTGACAGCTGGATACATAAAGCGAGGGATTAGAGGTCCGCACGTGGAAAAAAGGGGCTCGCTTTAACACATCAGGTGAGTTCCGCGAAGCTTTACACCTGCCGAAGAACAGCATGTAAGCACGACGTTTTACCCAAAAGAAAAGAGCAAAACTTTATTTTGGGTTTTTCTACCTTCGCTTTCTTTTAACAAGCGACTGCGTCAGCAACCTTTCAGCCACTTTGCGGTGATTCCAGAGCGAATGCACGCGCTCACCTACGGGCAGTGCGCGTGATGGTGTTTCTTAATAATAAAACTTGGTGAATCTCACACTGTAGACTTTATGAGCAATCGTTGTCAATATAATTTATCGGCTTCGGAGAAGACAAACACGCTGAGAAAGTCGTCATTGTTTTTGTTTTTCGTTCTTTCTTTTTGACAAACTCCGGATAATCCGCGTTAATGATTAATCAGGGAATTCCTAAAGGTCAGCCATACCTCAGTGCTTTAGTCTTCGTTATCTCTGCAGGTTTTCACGCTCCTTTGACGTACTAAATTCTAGCGCCCGGGTTTTAATCATCCAGTATTTGCACAGAGAGAGATGATGTCCCTGTCAAATATGTGACTTGGAAGAAAAAAAAATATCCCAGACAGTGAAAATTCCTGCCAGCCCGAAGTGAATCTGGGTGTTGTCCAAACGGAATAGTTCATTGCTATTACTGTAGGCTGTGCTTCTGTCAGTCCACAATAACGGCATTGTTTTCCTGCAGTCACAGTTTTAGCTTGAAATTATTTAAGGCAAAATTGAATGCATTGCGTTCTCGGTGTGATATTACTGGTCTAATGAGTTGCAATTTGAGGTTAAAGACTTGCGTTTTCTCTGGGAAGTTTGTTGCATTTCATCAGTAGATTTAATGTAAATGGAATAGAATTTGTAAGTCACATTCAGGCGCTCAAAAGTTGTTATATCAATGCAATTTTACAGAAATGGAGCTCAAATAATACTAGTAAAATGTTGATCATTATTGTGGTTAACAGCATGAAAACCCAAAATTTATTTCATAAAAAAAAAAAAAAAAAATGTGCACATGAATTTCTGCATCAGTGTAGCATGGGCTTTGAAAGCATTCAGCCTGTGTCTCAGCTGAGGTGTTAAGGAAGCCTGGGATGCTTCAGAGGCGGCATTCGTCTTGTCTGCACTGTTGGCTCTGGTGTCTCTCATCTTCCTCTTGACAACCTGTCATAGACTTTCTATGGGGATTATGTCAAGCCTGGCTAATCAAGTGCAGTGATGACCATAGACATTAAACCAGGTATTGGTACATTTGGTGGTGTTGACAGGGGGTAAGTCCTGCTGGAAAATTGACATGGCATTAAAATAAAGCTTGTCTGCAAAGGGAAATTGGAAAAACGTCAGCACATGGCATTTTCTTCTAAATCTTTACGCACTTCAAAACAAATTTCAACAGGACCTCAAGCAATTTGTATTTCTCCAATTATCCCCCAAACTTTGGGATCTTAATTTCCAAATCAATTCAAACTTGTATCTTATATTTGAATAGAGGACCCTGGTGCAAAATAGTGGTTCACAATGTGGTTATCCATTAGAACCTTCTTATCTGTAGCTACATTTTTTTCCTACCACTCAACTTTTTATTAATTTATCTTTTTATTAATCTTGTGCTTTACTCAAATTTTCTGAAAAACTCCATTCTGTGATTCCACTAGCTGTTAGACACCACGAGCAACAGCAACACATATAAGTCTTAAAGTTTATTGCAATATATGGATGTGTTCATGTGCATACCAAAGTCAGATTAGGTGTACCTCTCTTCAGTAAAACTGCCTAACGCACTCGAAATGATTAATTGTTTCTTTTCATGCAGGAAACCGGGGGCTAATTTGCTCTGGTAAGCCGTAAACACAACCTTACATTATCCCCCGTTCTTCTTTGTCCACTTACAGTCATCGTTATGTGACCTGTTCAGCTGGCTTTGCCCTTGCATATCCACGACTTGAAGTCATTTGGTAACATTTTCCTGTGGGCAGAAATAAATGTATCTTCTGTTCTACGCCAGTTTATGGAGAAAAAGGAGAGTGTACTCGGCGTGCTCGTTTTCCTACAAATTGACACTGATATTTGAGGCCCTGGAGGAAGCAAAATCTCTGAGGCTGTAATCACCATTCCTGTCTTACAGCAGTAGTTTTCCTTGTGCTGTGAATGTCTGAAACTCATCTTTATTTTTGTATCGATTTAATAGAAAATTAACAACACATATATATATATATATATATATATATATATGCGCATCATCTTTACCACACAGTTGTCGCTTCTTTTTTTTACCCCCTCTCTAGCCACATGCTCCTGTGTGTGCTATTTATTGTGAGCATGCATTTGTTGCATTTGCCTAATGCACTTTCACATTTGTATTGTTAATGCCTCATGCTGTGGCCTCGCCATATAACAGAGTCATTGTGGTAATGATCCCTGCACTGTTTGAGATATCGGTTAGTAAGTGCACTGCATTTGCTTTTTCTACTATTTACCCAGTTCCATCTCAAATGTTTTACTGCTGTAAGGTGCCTGTAAACAATGAGCTCATTTTGGGGGCTGGGGGGTTGGCATGCTTTTCAATGATGCAACTTTATACCTTCAGCATCGACTGAGTCACCTGAGAAAAACTGAATGAATGCTTTCAACGTGTTTTTTTTCTTTAAGGTAAAACACTCTGGTCGTGTTCAGTATGTTAGTTTAATGGAGTGCTATTCCTCTGAAGGATTTAGATTTTTTTTTTTTATGCACACCAGTGGAATGTACTTTACTCATCTTTTGTTGTTTGTCTTTTGTCCAACACGGTGCAATGGAACTTTAGCAGGTTATCTCTCTGAAATTGCTTTTCCCATAAAATAAAAATAAAATAATAAGGCTATTTGGAAAAAAAAAAAAAAAAAAAAAAAAGCCTGAGACAAATTCTGAGCCACATAAAAACGAGAGGTATGTCTCTCTTGGATAAACAGGGTATGTACTCAAAAAAAAAAAAAAAAAAAAATGTAAAAATGGCTTCTGAAATGGTCAGTGAGGACGCAGGCTTTCCAAATAGGAAATTGTTTGAACATTTGCTTAAGGTGCATTTCCACTCCAGGAACCATTTTTTTCAGGAATATGAGTAGTTTCCTAGAGCCATCTTTGTTTAGTTTTTTTTTTTTTTTTATCTCAATTGTTTGAGCTGCAGAAACGAATGCCAAACCAGATCAGCAGTGTATGCATACACCAGAAACTTGTCCTTGTAGGGAGTTTGTACATTTGGGATGGACCTAATCCTAATGGTTCCCATGGTGTTTTGTTGTTGGAGGCTGCCCGATGTTTCTGATGATTGAATATTCCCAGAAATTACTTTCAATTTCCTTCTTTATTTGAGTTCAATTAGAGCTTACATTTTCTGATGACTTTACAGCAGTCAAATCCATCCACTCATGTTGAATGTTGCAATGTTTTGTGGGGTTTATGTCATAATACAGCAATAAAATCAGTCAGTCTTAGGGGAAATATTACAATATTTCCCAGCGGTTTTCCATCTTGGGTTGTGTGGGGGGTGGTAATCAGTTCTAGTTGAATCTTTCCATAAAGTTTGGTGTAACACTTCTTTTAAAACATGACTGTTATGAAAAAAACAATCTTGTTTTTACTGTTTTAAACAGGATCTTGTCTGTTGCAGTGGGCAGAGATCTGTGTTCCCAGACAAAATAGAAGATTTAAGCCGAAAAGCATTCATTATCACTGAATTTTACAGACAAAATATGTACTTCTTGCCCTGCATGCATTATTCAGGCAAGTGGCTGAAATTAGTTTTTTTTTTTTTTTTTTTGCTGTATGTTGGCTGGGCTCCGCATTATAGATGGGCTTTTAATCCTGGGAAAATTCAGAGCAAACTTGTTCCTGCGCTTCAAAAGGAGTCAGTCGAGGTGGTCTGGGTATCTGATCAGGATGCCTCCAGGGTGCCTCTTTTTGGAGATTTGCGGGTGGACTTCAGGAATTGCTGGAGGGACTTTGTATTCATCTCCTAAGAATGAGCTGAAGAGATTGAGCTTTTGCCTCCTGGATCTGAGGCTTGTGCCTCCCAGATAAGCACAAACCATGATATATAGCAAATATAGAATTACGGTCTTAATTTCTTCAAATAATGTGTAAATATTCAGCGTTCGTTACAGCAGCGTTGTGCTGTTGCATAACCGAAATGGAGACGTGTCACAGACTGGCACTAAAAAACTTCAAAACAAATTTCGAGAAAATATTTTCTCAGTTTTCTGACCTGTGACATTTAATATCTGGCCATACGGTAATGTTGGACTAGACTCATTCACAGTTACTCTTACTGACATGAACCTCTGCTTATTTGTTTTCATGGACACGAGGAAACCGTGGGAGTTTTTCCCCCAGGTCTTGTTCAGAACTTTGAGTCAACATGAAAGCCGTGCATGAAAGGCTGCAGATGTAGCAAAGCGTTTTGCTACGTCTTTCATACATCTCACAGAGCTAAGTGCAGAATGACAGAAACTAATTTGTCCTCCCAAGTTTCCAAAGCCAGCCAAATATGAGTAGGAGGAGTAGATATGAGCAGCATGAAGAATACAATTAATCTTCTTTTTTAGTAGATTATCTGGACAAACCATTATGTCTTGTACTTTCGGATAAAGTTTTCTACAGACATTATTACCTTAATAAATTTAGCTTAAACCCCCGGCTTCAAGTAAAACCTCTACCACTGTCACTGTCACGCTTGATTCCCGCTGCTGGTCAAACATACAACAGTTCTTAGCATAGCTGCAGCCTTACCAGAAAGAACGGGGGACGTTTGTTTACGTACCAGCAGTGTGTCAGTATGTCTGCTAAACAATCTTATTTGAGTAGAGGTGCAGTCAATATGACTGAGTGAGAGAAATAAAATTAACTTTTGGAATTGCTTAGAATCCAGAAGTAAACTCCTTACAAAATGTGTGGGATTGTCTGAAGAGAGCTGATGAAAAGAGATGCCCTCACAATCTGATAGATATGGAGAACTGTCAAAAGACCTCTATTACTTTCTATTTCTGCAGCTTGTTTTTTAATAAGGGGTGTATTGAAAGTTGAAGCACCTATAACTAATACTTTCTACCTCTAAAACCTTAAATGTTGCTGGATCAGGGTCAGAAAAATCTATTTTAAATCACAACAAATCTACTTTAAACATTCGTTATCTTTTACCTTTACATAATTTGTTTTCTCCATTTGTTAAATAACACATCCTAATTACACAAGGATCATGTTTAAAATATACTTTGGTTATGTACCTGCTATGTGCTGGCTGTTATAAGTTAAACATTTCGATCATTACTTCCCTCCTGAAGTCTACGCTCTCTTTTCCCCGGTCATGAGAGCAGGACTGTGTACTTGTTAAAGAAGTGACTGTGCAGTCTAACCCACAGACCTCACTTCAGTGAGGTCCCAGGAGACCAGTAAGCACTGCCTGGAGAGATTTAACGTTATCCCGCAAAGTGAGAGTGGAGCAAAGGAATGCAAAAGGAAAAAGTACCGGCCTTTTCACTCCTGTGCACCATATAACCTCAGTTAATGAAGTGTTTTGGGTGAAAATGGGGTGACAAACAGTGCTGGATGTATGTGCATTGCCTTCACTACCACAGTAGCTCCTTGGCTACAGTTGCTCAGCCTTGTGCTGTTTCGGGTTGTGTTAAGACTTTGCAAAGTCAAACCGTAAGCTGCACACTAGCTGGCTACATTTCAATGCCTGGAGGTTTCAGCGTCTTCCTCCTCATATTCCTACTTGTTTTCCTCCTTGTGTCGCTGTCGTGTTATCCCTTCTCCCTGATCTTATGCTTCGCTGGGCCACCTGAGGGAAGATATGTGCTAGTGACGGCTTCAGGGGTAATATAGGGAGCTACGAGACCGGGGCCGTTTGGCCAGTTATTTCTTTGATTTTTAACTTTCGTGTGCAGGTTGGTTACCAACAGGCAAAATAAATGGAAACGTTTGCTTGTAAGGAACTGTTCTATGTTGTATAAAAATCTCTAAAGGGCAGAAGGAAGAATTCAACGGTGTAAATGTCACTTTCAGAGTTTGCCGTCTGGCTTTTTGCGCAGTTGATAATTTTAAACGTAGACGTCTGTGATCAAAGTTCCCGCTGCGCTGTGCAGAGCAAGCAAACTCACAGCTCCTGAAAAACAATCTGAAAACTCGATCTGTTTTCTCAGGATACAAGATGCCTGACTGATTATAAATCTTAACTTTAAGTTTTGGTTCATTTTTATGTGGGGAGTGAAATTCTGCTGCTCTGATGGGAGGCTAGTGAAGAATGCAGTCAAAGAAATTAATGCTCTGATACCGAAAGACACTGGAAGTAGTTTTAGATTGGATGCCCATTTAACCACACCATGTATTAATTAACGCTCTTTTGTCAATAACATATATATATAGCATAGACTATAGTTTAGCATGTTCAAATGTACCTATTTTTAACATGTTTGTAGGTTATGGTTTTGTGATTTTTATCGATGCGCTCTATGACTTTTTGTTCTGCTTCCCTGATAGAAATGAATTAAATCCTACAAGAAGTTTAGAAAACCTTTTTGTTTATGTGAGCAAGTGTTTTTGATGAGGGGAGTGTTTAGTGGTATGCCTTGCTTTGCCTTGCTGTAGAGTAATTCATCCTCAGGTTGAGACTGACAGAGTGGTTTGTCAGCACCAAGGTGGCATATGTAGTTTATAATGTTAGCCGCTATGTGTCTCGAATGAATGCCTGCGGCTGAGACGATGATTAAGTTCCACGGGACTCTTGAGGGCATTTAGATCTAAATAGCCCACTTCTTTATGACCATATACTGCACTTGCAGATAGTGAAACCAAGGTAGCATAGTATTTCCTGGCATCAGACATACTGCTGCTTTGTCTCCAATGTGTCCCACCAGTCAAAAAAGATATACATTTACTGGTAGATGTTGGTGTGTAATGATGGGGGGACAATTTCTGTTCTGCATCAGGGGAACTCGACGGTTCTTCAAATAGCTTTAGCTGAAGCCATTTCATTCTGTAAGTGCTTTCAGAGCAGAACGCAAAAACAATGTAGTTATAAGGAATTTGAAGAATGCGGCTCCAATAGAGTAACAAAAATGCATCTCGTGTTGTTCAGAGGCTTGTTTTACTTTTTCTTTCTTTCAATGTTCACTTTTGTTTTAAAGTAGCAATAAGAGATATAGCAAGTTGCTAGTGTAAAAATTCAGATGTGGTTTTAAAATGACTGACCATGACACTTTGTTCATGGTCAGTATATATATATATATATATATATACACAAGTAGCACCAGATCAGGACTTTTGTGTTCTTCCTTCAGGACACCCACTGTTTCACCAGTCTAATTTATTGCACAAGTGCTGTTTTACACAACAGTTGGTGTTTGCAAATATTTTTAATGATGCTGACCAGCATTTTGAACCTGTGACAGATAAAACCCTTCACTGCAAACGTGGCTTTCATATAGCAGGGATTTTCTCCTCTGGAAACAGAATGAAATGGTGCTAATGAGGCATCATGACTGGAAATGGTTTGATGAAAAAAGGTTAGGATATAACTTCTGATTTAAGCGTACCATTCTTGCTTGTTTTTCAGTGAAAACTTGGCATAGAGTTGATATGCAAACTCTTAAGCTGCAGCCAGAATGTCTGCAGTATTTATGGTTTGACAGAAAGCTGGTGCAGCAAGCCTCAGTTTTTTTTTTCTTTTTTCTTGAACAGTGCTTTTTCTGTAAAGTATTTAGAGATGTGAATACTGTATGCTGTTAACACAGAAGGCAATTTCCCATCACAATAAGGTAACAAAACTATTTTTTAAAAATAAAACGTAGTAGCAGTTTGAATGAGGTGATGATATTTCTGTGCTTAGATTGAGGTGATTCTTAGCTTAGATCAAAAATGACCTTGCTGTGTGAATTACAAAAAGGTTGTTTTCAGCTACCTTAAAATAGGCAAAGCTGTTCCCCAGAGGTTGGTCCTGGGACCACGTTCTCACAGTGCTGAATTATGGTAATGTAATTTATGTGCATGCAGTTTTGTGATGCCTAAAAGCTAATCACATTTTTTGGCAAAACATAAAACTGTTGCTCACCATTGTTCATCCTGTTCTCTGGTTCAATAATCTTTATTTCTTTTCATCTATAAAATCAAACATCAACACTTCAGAGACAATTAATGTCAAATTTTTACAATTATGAGTCTTCACTTGGTGCAAAATACTGTATAGATGAACATATGTTGTGGACGTTGTACTATAAGCTAAAACTAATACTCAATAAATACTAATATTTTATACACTTCTTACTCTGATTTAAAATGCACAAGCAAGTGGTTGTATTTGATGGACTTCCAGAAGTGTGAATTCAAATTTGACTCTTAATGTGCAAAATATCCTCTTTCTGTCTAATTAAATTTGCTGTGTCTGTTTTTCTCTTCTCCTCTTCAGTGAAGATTAGATCCCTCCATTTAGTCGTTTTTCACCGGTTTATTTCTGCCTGCGTCGGAGATGAGTGCCAAGTCAGCCATCAACAAGGAGCTCTTCACGCCTCACGATGAGAAGATGCTCGCTGGTGTACAGGTGAAGAGGCGGACAAAGAAGAAGATACCTTTCCTGGCCACTGGTGGCCAGGGAGATTACACGACTTTCATCTGCCTCTCAGGTAGCAACATCTCTCTCTCTCTCTCTTTCTGCATTTGAATTTAAATTACTTTTATCTATACATCTGTCACCTTCTGCTTTTGCTGTGTTTTTGCAGCCGTTTCAGCATTTGCAGCATGGCACTCTAAGTGTTTTTCCTGATATTTTTACTGGCTGGCATGTTTTTTTTTGCTGTCAAGATAATGCCATTCTCAACAAGTTCAGCCAAAAGACAAGTTGTCAGTCTTACTTAAGTGGATTAGATTTGAATTTGGAGTGAATATTTAACTTTGAACTCTCTGTTTGTGACTTATTCCTCCTTAGCAGCCGCCATCATTCCCACTTTTCATAATTCACTCCGAGGCAGCTCAGCTCCACCATAGCATGTGCTTTACAGCAGGTTTGCAACATGGATTATCTTGTGTTACCGCGTCATTGTTAATAGTTGTTTTCTGCCTGTAGTCCATTGTAAACCTCCAAACAGCACCTAGCCAAAGTGCATTGTGATTAAAAGTTTGAAGTTTCAAATAGCAGTCCGTTATGACCCAACAATCATGTGTCTGCTAGAAAGTGCAAGATTGAATGAAGTTTTATTTTTCACCATGACAATGAAATTGAGAACACATCAGGTGAATTAAAAGAGTGGATTGTGAAGAAAAACAAAAGTGTGGATTGGTCTAGTCTTGACCCAGAACTGAATATGATGGAAAATCCGTAAAGTCACCTGAGGAAAGCTGTGGACAAGAGATGTCCTCACAACTTGCTAGATTTGAAAAACCTTTGCAGGCAGGGTGAACGTATGTGACCTAGTCAGGATGTGGCATGGTCGACCACTGTCAAAGAAGGAAAAAGTCTAAAACAAACATACTCAGTGTTTTTAAACAATGTTTCTTTTTCCATTGCATTGTACAGGATAAATATCGCAGAGTGATGCATACGTAAGTGATTTACCAAACAGAGCAGCTTTAGGATGTGTCTCTTCCAGCAGCTGTGTGTGTGGCAGTCCCATTCAATACCCTGTAGCTGTAGACATTACTGTATTGGTTTAACTTGAAACAGTAAAGCCGCTTGCTATTTACCTGTTGTGTTCAAGAGGTCTTTTACTCTTACACTACAGCTCAGAAGTTAGCTACATATTTGAAAAGAAAGGCTTTTTTTTTTTTCCAAGTTATCTACTCATGAGTCATTTCTCCTTTCATGTGGAAATTATTAATGTTCACAGCTTGTAATGCTCAGCTTGTTAGATCTTTAGGACCGGTGTTTTGCTCGGCTTAGAGCAAATTTTGGTTGCAGAATATACCTTTTTAATTATTATTACTTTCACAAATTTAAATCTGTAGCTCACTGGTGTTTTTGCAGCTAAGAACTCAAGATGAGATCTAAGTGAGACATTTCAATATTAAACAGAGTCAGATCTAGAAGTTGGTTAACACAGGCCCCAGAGGACTGGAAATTGACACCCTTCCAATGGAATTAAATTAAGCATTTGGAGTAACATCGTATAAATCACTGAACAATGACCAGACACATCTGGAAGGTTTTAGTCTATAATTTAGTAAGTTTGGAATCCATCTGTTATTTTAACACATCTTAACCTAAAATAGCAAAATTTGACCACACGTTCAGAAAATGTTCAAATTTATTTATTTATTTTTTTTACATTGGGTTTATTTATGTACTATATGCATTTTATTATTACATCCTAGAAAATCATCAAATGAATCCCGGCTCATTATAAACCGTGTTCTCGTTGCTTGAATAGGTCTGTTTCCACTTCTGGAGGAGATACAGTTACTACGAGCTGACATGAAAGAAAGATTACAGCATTCCTCTCACGTTTTCTGGCAGACTGATCTGGTTTGTTTGTCTTCCTATTTAAGGCGTTGTCTGGTTAGCAACCACTACACTGCTTATTGCAACCATGTGTAACGAAGGCTTTATTGCCTCCTTATGATGACAGTATAAAATGTTGTAGTATTCAGTTCAATACTTGAAAAAGTATTGAAGACAATGAGTATTCGTGACCTTTTTCGCATTCTGCATTGTTACAACCACAAATGTTAGTGTGTTTTATTTGCACACAATTGTGAAGTGGAAGATAATTATTATTTTTCTTTTATTAAAAACTTGGATGTGTCTTTGTTCAGTTTCCTGGTGAAGCTTAGTAGAACCACCTGTCCTTTCAATTGTGGCCACAAGTTATTTGGAGTTTGTCTCTACCAGCTTTGCGTAGCCTTTGTCTAGTCTGTCTTTTTTTCCTAAAGTAAGCCAGACTAGATGGACAGCATCAGGAAATAGGCAATTTTCTAATTCTTGGAACTAGAAAATTCTCAATTAAATGCACCTTTAGACTTTGACTATGCTATTCTAGCTATTAAATTCTTTTTTATGATATTGTTTGTTCATTAATGTTCTCTCAAACCTCTGAGGCCTTCATGAAAGAACTGGATTTACACTGAGATTAAATCGGACTCTATTCGGACTCTTTTCATGAGTCCGCATAGAGTTTGTTGCATCGGCCTTTTCTAGGAGCATCAGATTGAAAGGGGCTTGAATAGATTTGCTTGTCATCCTGTTTAGATTTCTATTTTAAACATTTTGAAAACAAACAAAAAATATCCTTCCAGTCCAATGACTTTTTTGTTTAAGTGGCATGAAGGCTTTGGCAGGGAAACATACAGAAAGCTTATGCATCAGTTTTCCCAACTTTTCAAATACAACTCATATGTGAGCACACATGCTCTGCCAATATGTCTCTGAAGATTTTGCTATTACCAATTTTAAATTCCTTTAAACTTATTTTAGTGGAGGATTTATAGATGTATTCTCATGAGTCTTCACTGGAGTCATGGAGTCGATCCTAGCTGTGTGGATGGAAGAGTTTGATGTGTGAAGACTCCAGTGAAGTCTTCACACATTTATTTACTGCTTATGCAGCCCAGATGAATTGTTTTTTTTCTCTGTTTTGTTCTTTAATGGGTTAAGGCTGACTTCGACGTTCTTTTTCCCCCCAGTCAAAATAGATAGAACAGACCAGACATTTCTAACCCTTTAATAAGAGACAGCAAGCAATTTAAAATTTTAAAATAAAACGGGTCCCTATCTGACGACATAAACTGACCGAACCGTCTTACTACAAGAAGTAAGAGTTTGCTTCTTGTTGTATTTGGAGCCATCTCATTTGTGTGAGTAGAATTGAGAATGATCTGCTAAATAAAAGAGCTACTCCACCAAGCTTGCCAAATGTATTGATTTCCTGCTTTCTGTTGGAAAATCTCCTGACTCAGCTGGTGCGTTGTAAAACACGTGGGACCGCAGTGTCTAAGGCAAGATCACAACGTCTCGTGACTGCTGCTTCTTTTTTGTTGTTTTTTTTTTTTTTTTTTCAGCCAATGAAGCATTGTTCTGAGCTTTACTCATGAGTTTCTTTGTGTGTACTGTACATTGAAACCGTGAGTGTGGCAGCAGCCAGCTCTTGCCTCCTCAGAGCTCGACGGATACAATGGGACCTTGAGCGTGCAGCATGTGTGCGATTATCTGTGAGAGCACACTGCATGTATATGAGAGAAAGAGGGGGATGGGAGTCACTGACAGCCTCATGGTTACAGTAGCAGAGAGTTGATGCCTGAGGGCCATACAGTGGCAGAGTTACGCAATCTGTGGGATGTCATTACAGAAGAAAACCCACAGTGTTGGGAGCTGTCCTGTGAAGACCCCCACAGGCGCCTTACTATCAAACCAAGCCAGATGAAGCACTACAAGATCACTGCTTTTCTAATTTCTAATCTCACAGCTGAGGTGCTGTCACAAGAGAGAGAATCGAAGGATCTTCAGCTAATATGTTAAAAAGTCTCATGCAGACAGTTTTAAAATAGTAATTTGTAGCAGCTATTCCTCTTGCCTGTAGTTTAAATTATGCAACTTCCCCTGTGGGTGCAGCGTTTAGCTGTAGCTTTTTTGTTAGTATGGGGATTTGTAAGGCTTTGTATTGTCTAATTGCTGAAAGCATATTTGTCTTCTATAAAGAGTTGCATTTATCACTGAAATGCACAACAAATAGCTTAGGTGGCTTGCAGCTGGTGGACAGCATGCTGTCAGAATAACATGTGGCTCTGGTCTGGTTCCGCTGACTTGGCAAACTGATGTTTACCTTCAGGGGGGAAGTTTAGAAAAAGAGTCTCACCTTAGCTGCAAGGAGCTGTATGTAGTAAACTAATAGTTTTCTGTCACAGGGCAATGATATGCTCTGGAGTCTGTTTAATCCTGCTACAAGATCTGATTCAGAATTGTTTTGTTTTCTGATGCCGCTACTGATGAAGCTCACAGTCAGCAGTCGGGCCTCAGAATTTAGTTCCATTTTCTTGCTTTTGTTCCCAGCTTTTTATGACCAGCAGGGGAGAAACAGCCTGCAAGCCCAGTTTCTGGAGGTACCTCATAACCGACTTGTCACGAGCCAGTGTGCATAAGCATCCATTTTTTATTTATTCAATAGTAGGAACAGACATTCAGATGTGAAAAGGCTGCACATAAATTTTAATTTTATCTCTACTTTATGCACCAGGAATAACCTTTTGCTACCGCAGCGAAATTATGTTTAAGACCGACATAATTTGGTTTGTTGCCTGTTTGGTGTTGAGCTTCGGAAGTCGTCTTTGATCTGTCTGCACAGAACCATGTGTGAATGCTTCAACAACATCGGGAATCTTGATGACATGGGAGAATGCTGGAGGCTTGCCAGAAGCAGAACCCGGGCCGTGTCGGTCGGTGAAGTTCCTCTTTGATCACTGGACATCATGTGGTGCCTTTACGGCTGGACTTCAGAACTCAAACACTGGGCCGCCCACTGAATGTTTGGCAGCAGAGATGTCAGGCCATTTGAGCAAGATAAGAAACATGGAAGGTTCAGTGGAGGCAGCTTGTTGGTCAGCTTTGTATTTATTTATTTATTTTTTTCAATATTCTTATCTGATAGAAAAATATCTTTGATCGGTTGTATCTCCTATTCTTATTCAAGCTAACAGA